AGTAATGAGCAAAAGGTTTTTAGTATTTTTAACTGATAAAATGTACTTTTTTTAAAAAATGTTAGTACTATTTCAGAATTTATTAAATAAATAATAAAGATAATTAATCGATAATTAATTTTCTTTAAAATATCAAATGTAATGACTATTAAAACATTCCCACTTTGATCTCATGCGAAGTTTCTTAGAAAGAAAAACAAACAAATATATTGGCGGCATTTCTGAAGTCAAATTTAATTCAAATTTAGCTATGAGTAACTAAAAGGTGACAAGTTTTAGAATCAGTTATCTCAACTTAACTAATTAGTACTCCTTTGGTATCACATTATTTAGATATTTTAAAGAGTAATGTAAGAAATGCATACTGACTACACTTTGGATTACTTGGGGATACTTAAGGGATTTATTTGATTAGATAGAATGTTTTTATTATAAACTTGAAATTAAATGATTTAAAGTCTATAAACAACTAGACTTAACAAAAAATTACACTTAAAGATACACTTAAAATAATTCACGAAAAATTTCGTACATTATATGAATGTAATGTTTCGTAATATATACGAAATTGTATGAAAAAGTATGAAAACCTTTTGCGAATTATTAGATAAAAGTTTGATTAAATAATATTTCATATTATACACGAAATGTTCGTAAATATTATGAAAAAAGTAGTTGATTTGTTTTCTTAAAGTTTAGCAGGGATTATTTTCAGTGTACATATTGTTACTTTTTAAACTGATGGTAAAATTCCCAAAGGTATATTTACGTATTATTTTAGTTAACTTGTAAAGTATTTGATGTCAATAATAAATACATAAATATGAAAAAAATAATGAATAATTATAAAATTTTTAACTTTCTATTTTTCCCATACAACTTCTGACAAGTAGAAGTAAAATTCATTCATTGACTCACTCATTCACAGACAATTAGTTAGTAATTGTCTGAGACTTGCAAAAGAAAAAGTAAATTTATTTAAGGGAAGATTCATGATCGTATGAACAATCGTAACATGCGGGTACTTTATAGGTAAAAGGTACTAAGAAAGTTAAATTACAGTTAACATCGATAAATAAAGAAAGTACACGGTTGCAGGGTAATTAGGAAATAATGTTAGAAATTAGAGAAAAAAAAAGGAATGAGTGTATGAATAACCGGGGATTCATCTTAACTAAACAACCAATTCATTAAGATGCTATTCGAAATATCGATTTTAGCGCTAGATTGATCAAGAATGAATTTGTTTCTGTGTGTTCCGATAAAGCTTAAACAAATTGTTTTTAAAATTATTTATCCATAAAATACTGTCAATTCCAATAAATCTAGTTTCTTAAACAAACACTTCATTCTAAAAAACTTTACAGAGAAACAAGCCAAATGTTTATTCAACAGATAACTGCCAAGTTAAGTAAAAAATAAGTTAATAAAAATAACTAATTGTTGTTTAACATAATAAAAAAACTGCTGCTGCTAGCTGCCACCATAAAACCACAAATCAAAAACCTAAACTAATCATATTAATTTGCTATGAAAAGAAACATTATTATAGCCAATCATTCTTAACAATTCAACTAGAAGGTACTTCGTAACTCTAAGATCAAAAGTTAAGTTTGTATACAATTATTGAAAACTGCCAATACCATGTAGCACTACTAGTAGAAGAGAGCTGTGAGTCTCTAACACCTGCGGTATAGATGAATATTGATATAAACTTTTTCTGCCATTGTCTGTATGTCTGTATATGTGTGTTGTATGCATGTTAATGTATGTAAATTGTAAACAATTATAAAGTTTCTAGTACAACTTGTGGGTTACTAATAAAAACATACTCTTGCAGATTTTCTATAACTTTACACAATGACTAATTTTTTTTCTTTTGTTTTGGGACCTGGTAGTTCTGAAGACACTATTTGCGAAGTTATTTACACCACCATGTATATTTCATAATGGACTATGGTCTAGGCTATAGTCTGGACTATAGTCCAGTCTATAATCCGGACTATAGTCTAGTCTATAGTCTATTATATAGTCTGGACTATAGTCTAATCTATAGTTTGAACTATAGTTTGGTCTATAGTCTGGACTATAGTCTGGTTTATAGTCTGAACTATAGTCTAGTTTATAGTCTGGACTATAGTCTAGTTTATAGTCTGGACTATAGTCTAGTCTATAGTCTGGACTATTGTCTAGTCTATAGTCAGGACTATAGTCTAGTCTATAGTCTGGACAATAGTCTAGTCTATAGTCTGGACAATAGTGCAGTTTATAGTCTGGACAATAGTGTAGTTTATAGTCTGGACTATAGTCTAGTCTATAGTCTGGACTATAGTGTAGTCTATAGTCTGGACTATAAACTACACTATTGTCCAGACTATAAACTGCACTATTGTCCAGACTATAGACTAGACTATTGTAACTAATTGTTGTTTAACATAATAAAAAAACTGCTGCTGCTAGCTGCCAACATAAAACCACAAATCAAAAACTTAAACTAATCATATTAATTTGCTATGAAAAGAAACATTATTATTGCCAATCATTCTTAACAATTCAACTATAAGGTACATACTTCGTAACTCTACTAGTTTATAGTCTGGACTATAGTCTAGTTTATAGTCTGGACTATAGTCTAGTTTATAGTCTGGACTATAGTCTAGTCTATAGTCTGGACTATTGTCTAGTCTATAGTCAGGACTATAGTCTAGTCTATAGTCTGGACAATAGTCTAGTCTATAGTCTGGACAATAGTGCAGTTTATAGTCTGGACAATAATGTAGTTTATAGTCTGGACTATAGTCTAGTCTATAGTCTGGACTATAGTGTAGTCTATAGTCTGAACTATAGTGTAATCTATAGTCTGGACTATAGTCTAGTCTATAGTCTGGACCATAGTCTAGTCTATAGTCTGGACTATAGTCTAGTCTATAGTCTGGACTATAGTCTAGTCTATAGTCTGGACTATAGTTTACTCTATAATCTGGGCTATGGTCTCGTCTATAATTTGGGCTATGTTATATTCTATAGACTTGACTACATGTAGTCTATAAACTGTACTATAGTCTGGACTATAGTCTAGTCTACAGTCTGTAGCCACAGTCTAGTTTATAATCTGAAATATAGTCTAGTCTATAGTCTGACTAGACTATGGTTTAGTGTATAGTCTAGACTATAGCTCAGTCTATAATCTGGACAATAGTTTAGTCTATAGTCTGGACTATAGTTTAGTATATCTTGCCTATCTTATTGTCTATAGTCTGGACTGTAGCGTAATCTATAGTATAGTTAAAAGTCTGGCTGTAACCTAGTCTATAGTCCTGGACTATAGTCCAAACTCTACTCATGTGGACTATTTTTTAAATTATCTACTAGTCATGGTTTGGTCTAGTGCATGGTTGGTCCTAGTCCATGGTTTGTCTAGTCCATGGTTTGGTCTAGTCCATGGTACAGTCTAGGCTATAATCAAGTCATACTAGTCTAAGGCTAAATCAAGACAATACTAGTCTAGTCCTATAGTCTAGTCTATAGTCTAGTCCTATAGGTCAGTCTATAGTCTAGTCTATATCTAAGTCTAATAGTCTAGTCTAGTATAGTCTATAGTCTAGTCTATAGTCTAGTCTATAGTCTAGTCTATAGTCTAGTCTATAGTCTAGTCTATAGTCTAGTCTATAGTCTAGTCTATAGTCTAGTCTATAGTCTAGTCTATAGTCTAGTCTATAGTCTAGTCTATAGTCTAGTCTATAGTCTAGTCTATAGTCTAGTCTATAGTCTAGTCTATAGTCTAGTCTATAGTCTAGTCTATAGTCTAGTCTATAGTCTAGTCTATAGTCTAGTCTATAGTCTAGTCTATAGTCTAGTCTATAGTCTAGTCTATAGTCTAGTCTATAGTCCTAGTCTATAGTCTAGTCTATAGTCTAGTCTATAGTCTAGTCTATAGTCTAGTCTATAGTCTAGTCTATAGTCTAGTCTATAGTCTAGTCTATAGTTAGTCTATAGTCTAGTCTATAGTCTAGTCTATAGTCTAGTCTATAGTCGAGTCTATAGTCTAGTCTATAGTCTAGTCTATAGTCTAGTCTATAGTCTAGTCTATAGTCTAGTCTATCAGTCTTGTCTATAGTCTGTACTACAGTCTATAGTCTTGTCTATAGTCTGTACTACAGTTTAGTCTATTGTCTGGATTACAGTCTGGACTATAGTGTAGCCTATAGTCTGGACCTAAGTCTATGTTATAGTGTAATCTATAGTCTGGACTAGAGTCTAGTCTGTAGCTGTACTAAATTATAATAATTTTTACTATAAACGCAACTAGGAAGAGGATACATGGTCACTATCAAATCTAAAGGTTTATGGCCAATTTAACAATTGGTATAGTCGTAAGTATATATCGAGTTTTTGTGTGTGTAAGTTTTTTGTAGCATTATTAGCATTTATATTCGAAATTCTAGATTTTCAACAAAAACCATATTTAGGACAGGTATTAGAGTGAATGTAGGTTTTTAGTGTACAATTACTAAAGAAATACTACAGCAACAATAACTACTACTTGACATAAATATGTAAAAATAATGTGTTAAGATTTGACAACTCAAGATATAGAATAACCAAAGAAATTCGAAACAGTATAGGAAATTTAAGAAAGTATTGAAAATTTTAGCAAATTAACATAATAAATATTATTAGCTTAATATATTTAGCAAAGTTTCTTTTAGCAAACCATAAAACAATTTAACACTTTTATACAAAAGAAGATATAGAACTTTACTTAAAGCTTTTAAAAAAACGTAAAAGCATTTATTGTAGGAGAACTACTTGAATATTTCAACAACTATTCACGTTCTCTCGTTCGGTAAATTTCAAAGTTGTTCTAAAATAGTTATATAGTGCCATCCCTGCAAATATATGTAAATACTCCTTATATTATGTAAGCACGCCTACAATGTAAACACGCGTTTACAATAAGATAATAATAAGAAGATGATAATAAAGAAAGATGATGCAGACGATCATTCTTTGTCTAACCTTGAAACAAACAGGTTGTTTGATTTATTTAAAAATAAGAATAAAAGTATAATATGGCGACCGTGACAGGACAGTTGAAAACTAAAACAAAAGAATTTGTGGTATTTGCAAAAATAAAATACAAAAATAGTGACATAAAGTTATAAAAAAAAAAACTACTAAAAAAAAATAAAACCTAACATAAAAGGAAAAGTTGTTTTAAAAAAAAAAAGGAAAATGTGTTGAATATTATAAGTGTATGAAAAAAAAACCTAATTAAAACCATTACTTATAACTAACCTTTAAAATCAAAAGAAAATAACGTTTAAAAAAAATCATCATGAAAATGTGTAACTTCACAATAACTAATAAATAAAATATAATGTAATTTTTCAAAATAATCTAAAAACTTTACAAACAATTATATTGAACCACAAAAAAAAAAAAATCTCTAACAATTACAAAAAAAGAAGAAAAACAACAACAATAAAACCATTTACAAAAAAAAGAAGAACACTTATAGACAAATCACTGTGTTGTTGTGGAAATCGCAAAATGCGTAGTACTTGTGCAAATATTTAAAGGTACCGTTATTGCAAATAATTCGTGGCGTGATTGTAAAAATGCAAAATGGTACAGTACTTTCAAAAGTGCTTATTGCAAATAAGAATATAAAGTGTGGTGAAAAAAAAAACACAAACTTAACAAACACAAAAGAAAAATTTGATCTTTAAAAAAAAATGTAACGGAAAAAAATCATAAGAATAAATAATGAAGCAAAGTGAAAAAAAGAGGAATAAAGAAAAAAAAACAGGACACAACATAATAAAACTAAAGGAAAAAAACACAAGAATCAAGAACGAAAAACAATATTGAAATATAAAAAAAAAATCGCACATAAAATAATAAACATATAGAAAACCAACATTTAATAAAATATAAAAAAAAATACAAAAATAAAATTTAACAAACAGAATATTATCTATTAAGATATAAAAACAAAATTATTTTGAAAATTGATAAACTTAAAACGGAAAACAGTTTGAAAAAAAATACAAAAAATGAAAAAATAAGTAAGAAATGAAGTGAATTGCAGATGGACAATTAACAATAAAAAAAAAAAAAACCAAACAACAAGCAAAATAAAGAGATGGAGACAATGAAATGCAACCGAAGATTTACAACAGCTAAAACAACAAAATAAAGAGATGGAGTAATAAAATGCAAACGAAGATGGACAATAGCTAAAACAACAAAATAAAGAGATGGAGAAAATGAACTGAAGATGGACAATAACAAATAAGGAAATAAGGAAAAACATCAGGGATGGAATAAGGGTAACAGTTGAAGTTATTTGTAAATATGTAAATATTATTAGATTATTAATCATATACTTAAAACTATAACTATCATTCTTAATTATTAATCCTTTTTTTTCTACTACTATATAATATTTTAAGCTTCTTCTAATTACAAAATAATTAAGATATTCGAAATTAGTTTACAACTTTGTTAAATATTAATATATAAAATTAATTATAGATATAAGAAATTTTATATCCATAATAATATTTAAAATTACTTGTAAATTTTACTAAATAGATAAGAAATTTTATATTAACAATATTAATAATATTAATAATTAATAATATTTAAAATTACTTATACTTTTCTAAATTTATAAAAAGATTTTATTTTATATAAATATTCAAAACTATTCAAAAAAACCTTTAAAAATAAGAATTTGTAAATATATATATTATATATAAAACAAATAAACTATAATGTTTTACAAATGTCAGAGTTTAATAACACAAGGTTTAATGAACTAGTTTTTGAATTTTATAAAATAAAGAGAAGAGTTTTACAACGTAGACCATTAACAAAAAATGTCGATAAACTTAATGAATATATCTCACTTCTAACAGAAACTTATAATGCCATACTAGAATATACAGAAACAAGATATAAAGAATTATTACCTTCCAATAGGAAACCAATTCTCAAGAAAATTAAACACTGTCGACAACTTTTAGTAAATTGTTTCAATAAATTAGAATGTAGAATAAAAGTCCCGGAAGGAAAAAACTTATTTACATATATAAAAAAAGAAATTGTGTTAGAAAGTGATAGTAATAGTGACTCGGACAACATTTCTAATAGTGATAACAAGGATAGTATAGAAATTTCTGAAACAATGGCTACAATAGAACAGAAAAAATCGTTTATAGGCATGTGCGCGTCTATTATAAGAGATAATTACGATGGTAACCCACTGTCTTTAGATTCGTTTCTTGACAAAATAGATTTAATAGAAGAATTGACTGAACCAAACTTAACAACAACTTTTGTGCATTTTATAAAATCTAAATTGGAAGCAAAAGCTCGTGAAGCATTGCCAGATAACGTTACTACAATTGATGAAATTAAAACTGCTTTGAAAACAAATATTAAACCGGATAGTTCGAAAGTTATCGCGGGTAAAATTTCAGCTCTTACGGTTAAAAATGATAATTTTGCGGATTTTTCAAAGCAAGCAGAGCTACTTGCTGACGCTTTCAAACGTTCTTTGACTGTCGAGGGAATAACTAAGAAAAAAGCTCACGAAATGGCGGTTGAACAAACAGTTGCAATGTGTAGATTAAATGCTAAATCCGATTTGGTAAAGTCAATCTTAGCATCCTCATCCTTTTCAGACCCGAAAGAAGTTATTGCGAAACTAGTAGTCGAACAAACGGCTGAAACAAAAGAACGTCAGGTTTTGGCATTCAGGAATCAAGGTAGCAATAGAACCAATAGTTATCAAAACAAAAATTTTCCTCGTTTTCGTAACAATTATTACCGTGGCAGTAACCGTAGATATTTTAATAACAATTACAATAACAATTTTAGAAGAAACAACAATTTTGCAAACAATCAAAATAACAATAATTATCGTCGTAATGGTAGAAATGGACAAAATAACAATAACCAAAGGGCTTCAGTAAGGACTTTAAACGTGGAAGGCCCTCAACAGAATATGTTGAGGGAGGAAAACGAAACACAAAATCAGAATTAGATACCCAACATTTTAAATCAGTTTACAGCTTAAACCCTAATTATGCAGATTTTATAAAACTAAACTGTGTTGACGCAGATAAAACCTGTTCTTTTCTTGTAGACTCACAAGCAGACATATCTTTAATTAAAATTTCTTGCTTAAATCAAAATATTTTTTTGAACAAAAATGAAATAATCAATATTACAGGTATTACTCCGAACTCTTTAACTACTTTAGGTACAATTTGTACAAGTATAATTGTGTCAGATTCTATAATTCCACAAGTTTTCCATGTAGTAAGCAACAATTTCAATATACCATCCGAAGGAATATTAGGCAAAGATTTTCTGAAAGACAATAAGTGTGAAATTAATTACGAAAATATGACCATAACAGTTCGTGACAGGAATAAGAGATTAGTCGTGCCAATATTGCAAGGTACTAAAAATTTTACTTGTGTTATCCCACCAAGGTGTGAGGTATATAGAACTTTTAACTTATGCGGAATTACAGAACCCATGTTTGTAGATTCACAACAAATTTGCAAAGGCGTATTTATCGGTAAGGGCATTATAGACTCAAACAATCCAGTCATACGAATAGTAAATACTACTAATGAATTTAAATGCATACAAAATGACAAAGTCAATGCGGAAAAGTTACGAAATTTTAATATATATTCGATAAATGAAAATGTGAAAAATAGTGAACGTATAGGCAAATTAGAAAATGTACTACAAAATCAAATGCCGGATGATGTAAAAGATAGTCTTATGCCACTCTGTAGGGAATTCGAAGATATTTTTGCGTTGAAGGATGACAAAATGTCAATTAATAATTTCTATGAGCAAAAATTTCGATTAGTTGATCAATCCCCAATATATATAAAAAATTATAGGCTTGCTCATTCACAAAAACACGAAATTAATAGACAAGTGAACAATTTATTAGCAAATGATTTGATTGAACCTAGTTTTTCCAATTTTAATAGTCCACTAATTCTGGTACCCAAAAAGAGTACAGATGATCAAAAGTCGTATAGGATGTGCGTAGATTATCGGGCCGTCAATAAGAAACTCATAGCGGACAAATTCCCTTTACCTCGCATTGACGATATTCTAGACAATTTAGGTCGAGCAAAATATTTTTCTGTTGTTGATTTATTTTCTGGTTTCCACCAAATCCCACTACATTCCGACTCGCGTGACGTAACTTCTTTTAGTACCGACAAAGGCTCTTTCCGATGGAAGGTCTTACCCTTTGGATTAAATGTGGCACCTAATTCTTTCTCAAGAATGATGTCCATAGCGTTTTCTGGACTTTCTCCCAACAAAGCATTTTTATATGTAGACGACATTGTCATAGTCGGTTGTAGCAAACAACACCATTTGAGTAATTTAAAGGATGTTTTTAATGTTTTAAGATCTCATAATTTAAAGTTGAATCCATACAAATGCAATTTCTTTCGTTCTGAAGTAACGTTTTTAGGGCACAGATGTACCGCGAATGGTCTTTTGCCGGATGATACAAAAATAAACGCAGTTAAAACTTATCCTGTTCCAACAGATAAAGACGCAGTAAGACGCTTTGTCGCATTTTCAAACTATTATAGGCGCTTTATACCAAATTTTGCAATAATAGCAGCACCATTAAACCGTTTAACACGAAAAAATATACACTTTAGTTGGGATGAGAAATGTCAAAAATCTTTCGATCATTTAAAGTCAATGTTAATATCTCCCAGGATTTTACAATATCCAGACTTTTCAAAAACATTCATTATAACAGTAGATGCTTCAAAACTTGGTTGTGGAGCTATATTGAGCCAGAACTTTAATGGTAACGATTTACCAATTTACTTTGCCTCAAAATCGTTTAATCAGTCAGAACAGAAAAAACCCACAATTGAGCTTGAACTGCTGGCAATTTACTTCGCAATTACACAATTTCGACCATATGTCTATGGCACACCTTTTATAGTTAGATCGGATCATAGACCACTTGTTTATCTTTTTAACATCAAAGACCCTTCTTCAAAACTTACCAGAATAAGATTAGAACTTTCAGAGTACAATTTCACCGTCGAATATATCAAAGGCAAATCAAATGTAGCAGCAGATGCATTGTCAAGAGTTAGCATAAATGAACTAAAGAATAATACAGACAAGCATATACTCGCAGTGACAACGCGTTCAATGTCAAAGAAACCCAATAAAAACATTGCATTTAAACCTTTCAATGAAAAACCTCTTAATTTGAAAATTTACGACAAATTTTCTCATAACTTTAGTAAGAAAATAGCAAAAATTAGAACCGAATTATTTCACAATGATCAAAAACAAAAAATATTGCGTTTAAAAATATATATAAAATTTAAAAAATTGCTGTCTTTAGACTTTGATTTCGTTAACGAAACAATTAGTTTTGACTATTTGCTTTCGAGGCTAGAAAAGGAAGCCAACGAACAGGGAATCTATAGTGCAGAATGGCCAAAAGATGATTTATTTTTCAAAATTTTTACAATACAGAAATTGAAAGATTACGGTAATAAAATATTGAAGACTCTTGAAATAATTCTTACTGAACCTATCGCTATAGTAAAAAATGAAGATGAGAAGATTAAAATTATGCAAATATATCATAATGACCCAGTAATAGGAGGTCATTGCGGACAAAAGAGGCTTTATGCAAAAATCCGAACGAAGTATTATTGGAAAAGAATGACAAAGGACATTGCTAAATTTGTGCGGAATTGCACCAAATGTTGTTTAAACAAAGTTAGGCCTTCAAATACTGAAAAACTTACTTTAACTCCAACTCCTAACAGAGCATTTGAAATTGTTGTTATAGATACTATAGGTCCATTACCTCAAACTGCGTTTGGAAATAAATATGCCATAACAATAATGTGCGATTTGTCAAAATACCTGATATCAATAGCAATACCTGATAAATCAGCCAAAACTGTTGCTAAAGCTATTTTCGAAAACTTTATTTTAATATATGGGAAGATGAACATTATTAAATCGGATTTAGGAACTGAGTTCAAAAACGAAATTTTAACTGAGCTATGCAAATTTTTGGAAATCGAAATCAAATTCTCAACTAGTTATCACCATGAAACATTAGGAACCGTGGAACGTAATCATCGCGTTTTCAACGAATACACTAGGGCTTACTTAAATGAAAATTTATCTGACTGGGACACATATTTGAAATATTATACATTCTATCACAATACTACACCTAACACAGTTTTCGACAATAAGTTTACTCCTTTTGAATTGGTTTTCGGCAAAAAGGCAATAATGCCTAATGAAATAAATAACAATATTGAACCTATTTACAATATCGACAATTACAGTAAGGAAATTAAATACAGGCTTCAAAAAACTAATTTACTTGCTAAAGAGTTATTAGAAAAACATAAAGTTAGAAGCAAAAAGTTTTACGACAATTCTGCAAATCCTATAAATTTAAAAATAAATGACAAAGTTTTATTAAAAATTGAACCATATGATAAACACAAAAATATTTATGATGGTCCATATATTGTAAAAAAAATTTTTGATACTAACGTAATAATTTACAAAGAATTAACAAAAAAAGAAAAAACTGTACATAAAAACAGAATAAGAAAATACTAAAAGTTTGTATATTAGATTTAATTTTACACTAATTTCATTTTCAAAAAGAAACATTTCAAAATTTTAAAAGTAAACAAAAAATGAAGAAAAAAAAAAAGAAATAAAAAAAAACAAAACGTAAGTAAAATACATAAACCATATTTGTAAATAAAATATATGTATATTAATGAAGGAACAAAAAAAAAAAAAAAAAAAGATGGGAAGGAATCCCTATAGAAATTAAAATTATATATATATGTATATACAAAATTTATCATACAATTAAAACTTTGTAATGAAAAAGGTATAAACAAAGAGGAAAGAAATTAAACATTTACAAATTAAAATTTGTATACATAGCAATAGAAATTAAACATTTATAAATTAAAATTTTTATCACATAATCAAAATATTTATTTTTTGTAATACAATTAAAATCTTTGTAATGAAAAAAAGTACAAACAAAACGAAAGAGGGGAAGGAATCCCTATAGAAATTAAACATTTATAAATTATTTTTTTATGAAATAATCAAAACTTTTTGTAATAAAGGGAGGTATAGTGCCATCCCTGCAAATATATGTAAATACTCCTTATATTATGTAAGCACGCCTACAATGTAAACACGCGTTTACAATAAGATAATAATAAGAAGATGATAATAAAGAAAGATGATGCAGACGATCATTCTTTGTCTAACCTTGAAACAAACAGGTTGTTTGATTTATTTAAAAATAAGAATAAAAGTATAATAGTTACTTCAAGAGGTGAAGTTTTTTATTTCTTTTCTTTAGTTTACAACCTTAATAGTTTTTTTTCTAACACGCCTATGAAAAAAATTTAGATATAAAATAGTCATTGTGTACTCTCGTTCGCTACATCTACAACACCCTTTTCCCATTGTCTAAAGTAATTTCATACACTTTTTTAATAAAAGCATCGTCGTTTTTTCTTCTTTTCCATATTTTTTTTTCTCGAGAATTGAAAACAAAACATGCTCTAGTTTTTAGTTTTTTTTTTTTTCTGTATCATTTTTTTAATGTTTGTCAATAATTGTTATGGAGCTCGTGACATTGTTTACATACAAAAAGTGAACAGAAAAATGTAAATGTTGAAAAAAAAAAAAAAAAAAAAAAAAAAAAAAAAACAACTAGAACTGAAATGATATTTTAGAAAACATAAATCATGGTATAAGGTAAAAAGTATGAGTTTGGATTTTCTGTTAGAAGAGTTGATGAAGGGCGATTCGTAGGTAAGATAAACTATTCTTAAATTTTTTGTGGAAACAATACTAAAGCCCAGAAAATTGAAAGTTTATCTGAAAATTTAAAATTTATTAATTTTAAGTCTAGACTTATAGAATATAAACTAAACTATAAAATATAGTGTAGTTTATATTCAAGTCCATAGACTCGACTATATCTGTAGTCAGGACTAAAGTCTACTCTATAGTCCATAGTCTAGTCTATAGTCTAGTCTAGTCTAATCTATAGTCTAGTCTATAGTCTAATCTATAGTCTAGTCTATAGTCTAGTCTATAGTCTAGTCTATAGTCTAGTCTATAGTCTAGTCTATAGTCTAGTCTATAGTCTAGTCTATAGTCTAGTCTATAGTCTAGTCTATAGTCTAGTCTATAGTCTAGTCTATAGTCTAGTCTATAGTCTAGTCTATAGTCTAGTCTATAGTCTAGTCTATAGTCTAGTCTATAGTCTAGTCTATAGTCTAGTCTATAGTCTAGTCTAGTCTAGTCTATAGTCTAGTCTATAGTCTAGTCTATAGTCTAGTCTATAGTCTAGTCTATAGTCTAGTCTATAGTCTAGTCTATAGTCTAGTCTATAGTCTAGTCTATAGTCTAGTCTATAGTCTAGTCTATAGTCTAGTCTATAGTCTAGTCTATAGTCTAGTCTATAGTCTAGTCTATAGTCTAGTCTATAGTCTAGTCTATAGTCTAGTCTATAGTCTAGTCTATAGTCTAGTCTATAGTCTAGTCTATAGTCTAGTCTATAGTCTAGTCTATAGTCTATAGTCTAGTCTATAGTCTAGTCTATAGTCTAGTCTATAGTCTAGTCTATAGTCTAGTCTATAGTCTATAGTCTAGTCTATAGTCTAGTCTATAGTCTAGTCTATAGTCTAGTCTATAGTCTAGTCTATAGTCTAGTCTATAGTCTAGTCTATAGTCTAGTCTATAGTCTAGTCTATAGTCTAGTCTATAGTCTAGTCTATAGTCTAGTCTATAGTCTAGTCTATAGTCTAGTCTATAGTCTAGTCTATAGTCTAGTCTATAGTCTAGTCTATAGTCTAGTCTATAGTCTAGTCTATAGTCTAGTCTATAGTCTAGTCTATAGTCTAGTCTATAGTCTAGTCTATAGTCTAGTCTATAGTCTAGTCTATAGTCTAGTCTATAGTCTAGTCTATAGTCTAGTCTATAGTCTAGTCTATAGTCTAGTCTATAGTCTAGTCTATAGTCTAGTCTATAGTCTAGTCTATAGTCTAGTCTATAGTCTAGTCTATAGTCTAGTCTATAGTCTAGTCTATAGTCTAGTCTATAGTCTAGTCTATAGTCTAGTCTATAGTCTAGTCTATAGTCTAGTCTAGTCTATAGTCTAGTCTATAGTCTAGTCTATAGTCTAGTCTATAGTCTAGTCTATAGTCTAGTCTAGTCTATAGCCTAGTCTATAGTCTAGTCTATAGTCTAGTCTATAGTCTAGTCTATAGTCTAGTCTATAGTCTAGTCTATAGTCTAGTCTATAGTCTAGTCTATAGTCTAGTCTATAGTCTAGTCTATAGTCTAGTCTATAGTCTAGTCTATAGTCTAGTTTATAGTCTAGTCTATAGTCTAGTCTATAGTCTAGTTTATAGTCTAGTCTATAGTCTAGTTTATAATCTGGTCCTATAGTCTGGACTAGACTATACACTAGATTTTTGTTGATAAATTTCCTTTTCTTTAAGAAGAGTTTGGATAAATTTCCTTTTCTTTGAGAAAATTTTAAATAAATTTACTTTTCTGTAGGATATTTTTTTAAATTTCCTTTCTTTAGTAAATTTTTGATTAATATTTTAATTTTTTTATAAATGTCCTAATTTTTAGGATATTTTTGATGAATTTCCTTTTCTTTGGGAAATTTTTTTAATTCCTTTTCTTCAGGAAATCTTGAACAAATTTCCTTTTCTTCTGAATTTTTAGTCTATTGTCTAAAATAGAAAATTTCCCTTAAAAAAATGTTAAAAATTACCTTTCAAATATTCTGCATCGAAAAAAATTTATAACATTTAGTTGTCTTTTGGCCCACCGTTCATCATTATGTAAAGTATACTTAAATAACATAAATATTTACATAGCAGTTCCCATTTATGCCTAAAAATATTACTGCAACATTATATAGCGAGAATCTACATGTATTAAATACTACCTGTGTAAATGTATTGTGTAAATTATGATGCTTATGGCTGTTGGCAAGGTAAAAAGTAAAGTAACATTAAATAAAAAGTTCTTTAACAAAACACAAAAATACTGCTATTTAAATAATAAAAAGAAAATAAGTTAATGAAAGTTTCAACTGCAACAAAAATGTTACATTTTGAACCAAAAAAAACACATCATGACCACATGACTTCGAAAAATTCTTTTAAAATCTCTTCATAGAAATAAATAAAACATTTTTGAAATATTTTACGCTTTTACCATCTAAGTTGATGAATGATAGATGATAAATACCATTGATGTGTTAAGTTGTTAATTACTATAGCACGTACACTACTGAAACTGTTTCTTGTATTTTTTAGATAAAAAAGAAAAATATACATTAATGTAAATGTTTTTAAAAAAAAAGTGTGAACAGTAATTACAAATACATTTAAGAATTTTGAAAAAATTTAAATTTAAGTAATTGCTTTTTAAAGTGTTATTTAAAAAAGTTATATGATTAATGTTATATGATTAATGTTTGTTCCCTAAAGACTTGATTTGAATAATTGAATCAAAACTACTTTTTATTAAATAGTTGTTAACAAATAAAGTCAATAAAACGAAGAAAAATTATTTAAAAAATTTCATAATAAATTTTTAAAATTAAAAGAAAATTATCAACTTTTTAAAATTTCTAATGGAAAGGTTAATAATACTGAACTAGTTACATAACTGGTTACTAAGATGTAAAGAGGTTACTAGTTCTAACACTTTACCTTAAGAGAACCTATAACTATGGCATCAGTTACAGTCTAATATCATTGAAAACTCGGTTTTAGTCCCGTTATGTTCCAGATTTAATAACCAGAAGTAAAATTTCCTATTCCAATTAAAAGAAAAACAATGCACTTAATGCATTTCATTAAAAATCCCCAACTCACAATCTAAAAATCCATTAAAATTCCAAATGCATTCAATTGAATTTCATGGAATTTCTATTTAATAAAAATAAACTAAAACTAAAACTGTTACCAGTTAAACACATAAAATATACCATTAAAACAATTACAATTAATCTAATATTTATGTTTAAAATTTATTTATATTTTTCTCTTTTTTTTATTAAATTTATTTACAGACATCACCATAAACGTCGGTAACGTAATCTCACACCTGAATTACAACAAACAGCAAACGAACGAACCTCTTTTTTAATAAAACGCGTTAACGCGCTTGATCCAAAAAGTAAGAAATTACAAATAAACAGACAGCAACAACAAATCAGGCTATAAAAATGGGATCCGATTGTGGTGTTTGGATTGGCAAATATGTGTTGTGCATATTTAATTTTCTATTTTTTGTAAGTATTATATATTAAACGAAAAAATATATTTTATTAAATTTAGTTAACATTTTTTTTTTTTTTGAAATTTATAAATCTTTTGTCAAATGTTGTTTTACAACAATGTACGTTGATAAAAAGTGAAAATTGCATTTTTGTTTTATTACAAAATCAATAATTCAATTATAATTTATTTATATAGTGTGTAACAAACTATTGGGTAGGAAGAAAAGTACAATTCGTTTTTATCCCTTTAAGAAATTTTCGATAAATAAACCTTTTCAAGGAAATTTTTTTTATTATATTTTTAAGAATTTTCTATAATTTTTTTTTGTTTTTGGACATTTATTGATGAATTTCCCCTTTGAGGGATTTTTTTTTTTTAATTTCCCTTTTTTAAAAAATTTTTGCTAAGGAAATTTTATTATGAAAATTTTGGTAAAATTACCTTTACTTTATGAAATGTTTGATAAATTTCCTTATCTTTAGGATATTTTTGATAAATTTCCCTTTCCTTAGGAAATTTTTGTCAAATTTCCTTTTCTTTAGGAAATTTTTGATAAATTTCCTTTTATATAGGAAATTTTTGATAAATGTCATTTTCATTAGGAAATATTTCACAAATTTCCCTCTATTTGGAAAATGTTTGATAAATTTCCTTTTCTTTGGGAATTTTTTGAAAAATTTCCTCTTCTTTAAAAAACGTTTGAAAAATTTCCTTTTCTTTAATAAATTTATAATAAATTTCCTTTTCTTTAGGAAATGTTTTATAATTTTCTTTTCCTTTAGGGAATTTTTAATAAATTTCCTTTTCTTTAGGAAATTTTTTTAAATTTTCTTTAGGAAATTTTTGATAAATTTCCTTTTCTTTAGGAAATTTTTGATAAATTTCCTTTTCTTTAGACAATTTTGGATAAATTTCCTTTTCTTTAGGAAATTTTTGATAAATTTCCTTTTCTTTAGGAAATTTTTGATAAATTTCCTTTTCTTTAGGAAATTTTTGATAAAATCCCTTTTCTTTAGGAAATTTTTGATAAAATCCCTTTTCTTTAGGAAATTTATAATAAATTTTCTTTTCTTTAGGAAATTTTTGATAAATTTTCTTTTCTTTACGAAGTTTTTTGATAAATTTCCTCTTCTTTAGGAAATTTTTGATAAAATCCCTTTTCTTTACGAAATTTTTAATAATTTCCTTTTTCTTTAGGAAATATTTAATAAATTTCCTTTTTTTACGAATTTTTTGATAAATTTCCTTTGTCTTTAGGAAATTTTTAATAAATTTCCTTTTCTTAAGGGAATTTTAATAAATTTCCTTTTCTTTAGGGAATTTTTAATAAATTTCCTTTTTTTTTTAGGAAATTTTTAATAAATTTCCTTTTTTAAGAAATTTTTTCATAAATTTCCTTTTTTACGGAAATTTTTCATAAGTTTCCTTTTTTTAAGGAAATTTTTCACAAATTTCCTTTTTTTTCGGAAATATTTCATAAATTTCCTTTTCTTTAGGGATTTTTTCATGAATTTCCTTTTCTTTAGGACATATTTCATAAATTTCCGTTTTCTTAAGGAAATTTTTAATAAATTTCCTTTTCTTTAGAAAATTTGTCATAAATTTCCTTTTCTTTAGTACATTTTTCGTAAATTTCCTTTTTTTTTTTTGGAAATTCTTCATAAATTTCCTTTTCTTTAGAAAAATTTTCATAATTTTTCTTTTCTTTACGAAATTTTTTATAAATTTCCTTTTCTTTAGGAAATTTTTCATAAACTTCCTTTTCTTTAGAAAATTTTCGTAAATTTCCTTTTCTTTAGACAATTTTTAATAAATTTCCTTTTATATAGGAAATTTTTGATAAATGTCATTTTCATTAGGAAATATTTCATAAATTTCCCTCTCTTTAGAAAATATTTGATAAATTTCCTTTTCTTTAGTACATTTTCACAAATTTCCTTTTCTTTAGGAAATTTTTCATAAATTTCCTTTTTTTAGAAAATTTTTCATAAATTTAATTTTCATTAGGAAATTTTTGGTAAATCTCCATTTATTTAGGATATTTTTGATAAATTTCCTTTTCTTTAGGAAATTTTTGAAAAATTTCTGTTTCTTTATGAAATTGTTTTAAATTTTCTACAGGAAATTCTTTATAAATTTCCTTTTCATTAGGAAAATTTTCATAAATATCCTTTTCTTTAGGAAATTTTTCATAAATATCCATTACTTAATGATTTTTTTCTAAAACTTCCTTTTTTTAGAAAATTGTTGATAAATTTCCTTTTTTCTTAGGAACATTTTTATAAATTTCCTTTTCCTTATGAAATTTTTGATAAAATTTCATTTTCTTTATGAAATTTTTGATAAATGTCTTTTTCTTTACGAAATTTTCAATAAATTTCCTTTTCTTAGGAAATTTTCGATAAATTACCTTTTGTTTATGAAATTTTTGATAAAATTTCCTTTTCTTTATGAAATTGTTTTCATTTCTATAGAAAATTTTTATTAAATGTCTTTTACTTAAGGAAATTTTTGATAAATTTCCTTTTGTATATGAAATTTTTGATAAACTTCCCTTTTTTAGCAAAAATTTAAAAAATACATTTTCTTAAACTTCTCTAAAAAAAAATAATTCCTTAAAAAGGAAATTTCTTAAAAATATTTTAAGAAAGAAAATTTATCAAGGATATTTATTAGTGTATATTAAATAAATTTTCTTTTTTGAAAAAATTTTCAATAATTTCTCTATTTAAAGAAAATTTTCAAGAAATTTTTATTTAATTTCCTATTTAAATTAAACAAGAATCCTTTTCTAGGAATTTTTCAATGAATTCTCTTTGAATTATTTCGCAAACGAAACAAGTTTTTCTCCAACCCAATTTAACTCATAACAATATTCAACTTTGTGCCATAGTAAAAAGTTCATTAACTTAATTTAATTCTTTTCTATTTTATAAACATTTTAAAATGTTTTATAAACTTATGTATGTAAAACTATTTTATTTAATGTGTGCATGTTATTTTATTTAAATTTTTATGTTTTTTTTTTTTTTTTTATTTTTTATTGACAGATCCTTGGCACGATAGTTTTGGGCACCGGTATATGGCTGGCCGTTGATAAGGCCTCTTTAATAGCTTTATTAAAAATGGTCGAAAGTGAAAATATTAATGTAAGTATTAATATTTATTATTGTTATTTCAGTTTGAAATTCTATTATTAAATAAAAAACATCTATTTGTAAACCTTTTGCTGACTTTGTAGCGGGAGGAAACTCACTTTTTGATTGTTTTTCTTGACCGTCTGTCTCGATTATTAATTGAAGCTACTTTTTTGGGGGGATTTTCTTGTTTGTGTATATATTTTGTTTGGTTGGCGTGTTTCCATTTAATTTTCATATTAATCTTGATTAGATTTTTTAAGTGGTAATTATCCATGAAATCAAATATTGTCCGCCTGTTTTTTTTGTTTGTTTTTGGTTTTTGTCTATTGACATACAAACACTTTCTTTTGTCATTTTATTTGTATGACGAATATTTTTAGGGTTAAATTTGGTTATTTTTCTTTTTAAATGTTAGACACTCCTTTACATCATTGCAGGTTGTCGTGCATTTGTTTGTTAGAAATAAATCTTGGGTTTTATTTTGGTGGTTTAGTAATAAAATATTTATGATTTTTGATTTAATTGTGGAATAAATAAATTATGCAATTTTTTGTGACCCGGAAGGTGTAGATTGATTTGATTTTTTATAATTTTTTAAAATTTAATTTATTGGTAATTATTTTACCTAAGTTATGTATTACATACTCAAAATTAGACACGAACCGGATTCACTAGGTTAGGTTCAGTGGTCAGTTACTCGATATATATGTATATCAATTCGATCCATATAATTGGTAATACTCTAAAGGTTACATAATTACACAGTGAGACAAAATAAACGAACATTTAAATGCCCGGG